AAAAAAAAAAAAAAAAGAAAAAGAAAAATTACAGATAAATGAATGGAAGAATAGTGCCTGCTGATGGCATCGGTGTACCCCAGGGTACCTCAGCACACACTTGGGAGGCCAGCAGGCTGGAGCAGGGGCACGTGAACCAAGGACAAAGTGAATATTGAACACATCTCAACACGTGGACAACCCTTGGGACTCAACTTTCTCACCCAGGTCCTTTGGCAATAAATGGATTCTACTTTTGACGTGGATCTGTGCTTAGGGAGCTTTGTATCATCTTGAAGAAGATGCAAATAATACAAAATTGTAAACACAAAAGTACTAGGACTCCCCTCAAGGCCCCCATGAAGAGCATAGCAGATCCTTCCCTGGTCTTGAACAGTTATTTTTGTTATGTGACTTTGGACTCTTCACTTTACATTGCTAAGCCTCAATCTCTTTTTTTTTTTTTTTTTTTTTTTTTTGAGACAGAGTCTCAAAAAAAAAGCAGAGTGCAATGTCATGAATTCAGCTCATTGCAACCTCCGCCTCCCAGGTTCAAGCAATTATCCTGCCTCAGCCTCCCTGGGATTACAAGCACCCAGTACCATGCTCAGTGATTTTTGTATTTTTAGTAGATGTGGAATTTCACCATGTTAGGCAGGCTGGTCTTGAACTCCTGACCTCAGGTGATCCACCTCAGCCTCTGCTGGGATAATAGGCATGAGCCACCACACCTGGCCTTAATCTCCTTACATGTAAAATGGGAGTGCCAGAACTGTATTCACTTCATAGAACTATTGTGAGGATTTATAGAGCAGTGAGTGTAAGCTGAGCATGAAGTCTGGCCTGGCATTTAGTGCTCAATAAATGTTATGCATCATTATTACTGAGCAGAGGTACATGGTGCTGGAGTGACTGGAGCCCAGACTACTCCACGGTGTTAGAAGTCAGAAGGGCGGGGAACCATGGTGGGCACAGTGGCTGGGAGGGGCACAAGAGGGGCTTCCGAAGCGCCGCTGGTCATGTTTTTGTCTCCTGGTGTGGTTTTAGGCTACATAGGTGTGCTCAATTTATAACATTTATTTGAGATGTACACTTACGATCTGTATATTAATACTTTTCTGTATATGTTATTCTTCAATACTATTATTTGTTTGTTTATTTATTTATTTATTTTCTGACATGGAATCTTGCTCTGTTGCCCAGGCTGGAGTCAGTGGTGTGATCTCAGCTCACTGCAACCTCCACCTCCTGGGTTCAAGCTATTCTCCTGCCTCAGCCTCCCAAGTAGCTGGGATTACAGGTGCCCGTCACCACGCCCATCTAATTTTTGTATTTTTTTTAGTAGAGATGGGGTTTCACCATGTAGGCCGCCTGCCTCAGGCTCCCAAAGTGTTGGGATTACAGGTAGGAGCCAAAGCGCCTAGCCATTGCAATTCATTTTTTATGTTTCTGGCAGGGAGTCTTTCGCCAGGGCAAGGAGGAGAAGGGACATAGCAACTCACCAGGAGAAACAGAGGGCTGATGGCCACCCAGCAGATCCTCCAGAACCACCCCGGGCTGAAGCCGAGCATTTCCTTCACGTCCCTGCAGAACTGAGTGATGCCTGGAACCAGCCAAGGGGAAGAGAGGCAGAGACTGAGAGAGGACACGGGCTGTGCTGCTGTGCCCTTATTCTCCGGGAGAGGCAGAGTCACAGGATCAGCACTGGGAATGACAAGGGGAACGGGAACCAGAATTCCTACCCAGGACACACAGAGCAGCTCTGGAATTTCTCTCTAGGAGGAGCACAGCCACAGCAATCAGGTCCGAAAGTGGGACTGGGGGACTTGTCGCAAAACTGCATTTTTATAGCAAGCAAGACTCTTTCTACATAGGGAGGGAGGATGGATGGGCATCTGGGAGGAGATTGACACGCCCTTCTCGGCGCCACACTGCCTTCCTAAGAGCCGAGTGCGTAACTGATTTCAATGTTATTATAGAAAAGAAAGTTGAACTTTGGGAATGCCAAACCCGCCTGACACTTTGACCATTACAGTGGAAGCCTCAAGGGAAATTTTTAACCCCAATATTGCCCATTCATATGCCAGATCAAGATCAAGGTTCTTCTATCTAAAGTAACTGATGCAGAAGTGAGAACTGAAAACTCCCAAAGAAGGGTGAGCACTTGAGAAGGAAAAGTGCTCTGTGGTTGCCTCCCCGAGAGGTCCTAGCAGTTCCTAGGGCAGGTCTGTGGAGATTCACACACTTGAACTTGGTCCTCTGAATCGCCAGGGAGGTGGGAAGATTTCTTCTTTTAAAAAAATCCAAGCCCATGTGCAGCCCAAAATATGCCCCCTACCTTCTTAATATGTATATCAAATACCATGCAAAAGTGGTTTCTTTTTGTTTGTTTTCGGGTTTTTTGTTTGTTTTGAGACAGACTCTCACTCTGTTACCCAGGCTGGAGCGCAGTGGCGCGATCTCGGCTCACTTCAATCTCTGTCTCCGGTTTTTAAGGCAATTCTCCTGCCTCAGCCTCCCAAGTAGCTGAAATTACATGCATGCACCACCATACCCAGCTTTTTTTTTTTTTTTTTTTTTTTTTTATTTCTAGTAGAGACAAGGTTTCACCATGTTGGCCAAGCTGGTCTCAAACTCCTGACCTCAGGTGATCCACCTGCCTTACCTCCCAAAGTGTTGGGATTACGGCGTGAGCCACCTTGCCTGGCCAAGACTCTTTTACAGACCCATTGTCAGGATGTCGCCTCTTGTAAACTGCCCCTCCCCGCCTTTTCGGGTTAAATCAGCCCTTTGTGTTGTGCCGGCTGATGGTGTAGAAGGGACACAGCTGGCTGAAGGAAGCATCTTACCGTAGAACCAAGACACAGCAACTGCCTCGATCAGGGCCACAGTGAGCACTGCGGGCCCGGTGGCATACTCCTCCAGCAGCTTCACCACGTAGGCCCCTCCCTGGAGGGGAGAGCAGAGCCTGGTGAGGGCCCTCCGAGGTGCTGCCCCTCCCAACTACAGAGACCTGCAGGGGCTTCCTAACTTAGAATCATTCTGGAAAATTCCCACCTGGACCGAACCTGAGTACCCGAGAAACTGCCTCTTAGACTGGGCATGGTGGCTCACACCTGTAATCCCAGCACTTTGGGAGGCTGAGATGGATCACCTGACGTCAGGTGAGTTGCTGAGGCAGGAGAATTGCTTGAACCTGGGAGGTGGAGGTTGCAGTGAGCCAAGATCTCAGTACCGCACTCCAGCCTAGGGACAGGGTGAGACTCCATCTCAAAAAAGAAAGAAAGAAAAAAAAAGAAAAAAAGAAACTGCCTCTTGGACGGGCCTTCGCGGTGGGCAGGTTTTACCGATTCAGATGCCTCTTCCCATCCTATGTAGTTCCTTCTTCTTGTTTCCTCTCTTTGCCAAATTTTAAGAGACAAACTCCAAAGGACCATGGGATCTATTTTAAACTTTCTTCAACTTATTGAACAATTGCTGTGGACATGACCCTGAGGAATCCCTGCCTCTAAAGACTGAATCCAGAAGGGCCCAGGATACCAGACACATTGAGGGCCTTGGTCACAGTTTTGTTTTCTGAAATCTAGTTGTGTCTACTGTGAAATGCTGAGAGCCCCTGGATGCCATGCACAGAGTCTACAAATAGATGTGCCAGAAACAACTTTTCTTCTTCTCCTGGACGACAATTTTTTTTTTTTTTTTTTTTTTTGAGATGGAGTCTCACTTTGTCACCCAGGCTAGAGTGCAGTGGCACAATCTTGGCTCACTGCAACCTCCACCTCCTGGGTTCAAGTGATCCTCCTGCCTCAGCCTCCCAAATAGCTGGGACTACAGGCACTTGCCACCATGCCTGGCTAATTTTTTTGTTTTTAATAGAAACAGGGTTTCACCGTGCTGGCCAGGCTGATCTTGAACTCCTGATCTCAAATGACCCACTCTCCTCGGCCTCTCAAAGTGCTGGTATTACAGGGGTGAGCCCGGCCGATGGCAAACTTTTAAATGTGAGTAACAACTCTCCCCTCTGTTGGTCCCAAATCCAGGGCACTGTGTGGGATGGAAAGAGAGGAACAGCTTCCTGTAGAGTTCTGTTGCCCTAGGGGAGGCCAACTCAAAACTGAGGGGCGTGGCACTCACAAATGTCAGGGTGACCAGGGATCCAAAGAAGCAGGTGATGACCACGGCGAGCACAAACCGCTCCCGGCGCTTGGCCCAGATGTGTGGGAACTCATCCAGCACAGCTGTGATCACCCCCTCCAAGCCTGCAAACTGAGAGGTACAGGCAAGCAGTCACAGTGGGGGCTTTGGGACAAGGCCTTCAGGACTGTGAACGGGAAGGAGGGGTGAGGTTGCTGAGGGACCGGCCAAGCTGATCATCACCAGTTTCCCGACTCGCCCACGAAAGCATCACAAAGAGTATTTCCCTGTTTGACACTGTCATCTAAAGCCCATCACTAAGGACAGCCAGGAAAGAAAATAGAACACGTGGACAGAACTTGGATATGTGAGGTCTCTTGGGGAGACTTTGTTTGCACCAGAAAAGTCAGCTCAAAGCTAAGACTCACTCCACTCATGCCAGGGCCTGAACTGAACGCTCGGCCAGGCAGAGACCCAGGAGAGACCTCGCCCTGGCCTGTAGGTGCCATAATCAGGCCAAGGGGCAGTGCTCAGTAACAGTTCACATGTGTGAGCCTTGGGCCTGCGCCAGGCACTTGACCCACATTATCCCAGTAAAGACTCGAATGTACTAGTGGTAAATGCCGAGGAGGAAGCCGGGGGTCTGGAGCACCAGGAGGGAGCAGCCAGTGCTGCCTGGGATGGCAGGGACGGGAGGCAATTGAGTATAGCTGTGTCCTCCTCTCATCCCCCAGAGCCCATGTCCCCTTCCCATTTACTCACCGTGCTGTCTAAGCCCAGCGTGATCAGCATCAGAAAGAAGATGATGGCAAAGAAAGTGGACGCTGGCATGTTGGCTATCGCTTCTGCATAGGTGATGAAGAGGAGGCTGGGACCTGAGACAGAGGGGAGAGAGGAGGCGAGGGTGACAAGGCCTGTCCTACCAGGATGTCACAGAGGAAACTCAGCCACAACAGTGGGTACAGTTCTCATCACAGCCCTGACTCATGAATCAGGTGTTTTTTTGTTTTGTTTTGTTTTGTTTTAAAGACGGGGTTTCACCATGTTGGCCAGGCTGGTCTTGAACTCCTGACCTCAAGCAGTCCACCCGCCTCAGCCTCCCAAAGTGCTGGAATTACAGGCATGAGCCACCGCGCCCGGCCATGAATCAGGTTCTGACACACACCAAGCGCTTCCTCACACTCTATTCTGTCTGACCTGGCCGCCCCAGTCCCTGGGAGGCAGGAAGGGTGGAGCCTCCATCTCGAAGACTGTGTGCCCTCCATTAACATAGGGGTGGTAGTAACAGACCCAAGACCCAAAGACTGGCAAAGCTGCACACAAGAGTCAGTTTCCACCCTATCACAATGCCGTGGGGTTTTTCAGGGCCAGGATTGGGATTTCTGAAGTCCATGGCAGTTACCCGCTCTGATGTCTTTAGCTCCAGAACAGTAGGAAATGTTCAGCTGATTTCCGTAGTCACAGAGGCCTTGGAATAAAGACCTCTTTCTATTTTAAAGTCCCTTTTGATAGTGTGAGGGACATGTCTTCAGCCTCTCATGGGCTAGCTAGGGGTGCCCTCATTTGGGGTATGGGGTTGGTCAAAGCACGGAATCAGCCAAAGATACAAGCGTGTTAGCAAGAAGGCCCGGGACCTCGTCCACTAGATGCCATCATCTGTGTTTTCAATCTCTGTCACTTGCCTTTTCCATGAGAACTGCTCAGTAAAATAGAGTGGTCATATCGGCTAGATTTTCTTTTTCTACAAGAGGCAGTTCTAAGGATAAATGATGATTTGCTTACTAGACTTTGATCCAACATAAGACATCACAGAAAGCAACCCCACGGCTGTAAAACCATCGTCAGAGTCATAATTTCAAGCCCATAGGTTTTGAAGGCCCCAGTGCTGGGTGCCAAGGGAGGGGTCCTGCCCTTGCACGGCCCGAACACACGGAAAAATCTCCAAGGCATTGGGCTTCTCTCAAATCTTGGAATCAAAAACGTTCTTATTTTGGAGACAAGGTCTTGCTCTGTCACCCAGGCTGAAGTACAGTGGCGTGATCGCGGTTCACTGCAGGCTTGACCTCCCAGGATCAAGCAGCTCTCCCACCTCAGCCTCCTGAGCAGCTGGGACTACAGGTGTGCACTACCACGCCCAGAGAATTTATTTTTTATGGAGGGAGGGTCTCACTATGTTGCCCAGGCTGGTCTTCAACTCCACCATGCCTAGCGTTCTTTGGAAAATTCCGGGAACATTTAGAAATAAATCAAAAGTTAGATATTTATAAAGATTCAAAGCAAAGCATCTCAGTAGGAGCAAGGGACCTGCACAGAACCTGAGGTCCTACCTGCATCTTTGGCCACCTCAGACACATCTTCATTCCTCATCTCAGCCATGTAGCCGAGCACCGTGAAGATGACAAATCCCGAAACGAAGCTCGTCATGCAGTTCACCACGCTGGTCACCAGCGCATCTCTGCAGTGAAAAACCCAAGGGGCCGCCTGAGACAGTTCCAAGACTGGGGGTCCAAGGAGCATCTGTCTGTGTGTCTGTCCTGCCTGAGACAGGCTGGCCACAGCAAGGACAAGCAAGCTGAACTTAAGGAACCTCAGGTCTGTCCCGGAGTCCCCTCCCCTTCTCTCAGAACCCAGCTGCCGAGGCCTGAAGCTCCGGCTGCCATGACCACCACGCATGGTGCAGGGAGAGCAGTGGGGTGCTTTCAGAGGCCATCTGCGATAAACGAGCACAGCACGGGCCACTCCATTTCAAACCAGCCTTGTGTCCGAGCAGGGCCCGGGTTAGAGTGGAGCCAGGACAGGCCCTGGGCCTCCCGTTTGTGAGATCCTCAGATTTAGACTTTGACATTATCTTCACATGAAGTCACAAGACTGCCAGCCACTGAGATATCCTCACACTTTTTGTGTGTGAAACGGAGCCTCGCTCTGTGGCCAGGCTGGAGTGCAGTGGTTCGATCTCAACTCACTGCGACCTCTGCCTCCCAGGTTCAGGTGATTCTTCTGCCTCAGCCTCCAGAGTAGCTGGGATTACAGGTGCCTGCCACCACACCTGCCTAATTTTCGTATTTGTAGTAGAGACGGGGTTTCCCCATGTTGGCCAGGTTGGTCTTGAACTCCCACCCTCACACTTTTAAAAGACAACCTTATCATACAACTTCAGGGCGGTGTCCCAGTGCAAGGCCACATTACTTAGTGTACATGTGAATTTCCCTTCCATGTTTTAAAAAAAATCAATTCTGCAATTATCTTATGCATAGCACAAGGAGATTGCTGGATGCTGTCATCTGTAATTGATCGGAATTAAGTCTATTTTTTTTTTTAATAGAAAAATTTTTTTTACTTTTTTTTTTTTTTTAAGATTGGGTTTCACCATCATGGCCAGGCTGGTCTTGAACTCCTGACCTCAGATGATCCGCCCACCTCAGCCTCCCAAAGTGCTAGGATTACAGGCATGAGCCACCATGCCCGGCCGGGAATTAAGTCTAAAGATGATGGGTGATATTTATTTTTGAGACAGGGTCTCCCTCTGTTGCACAGGCTGAAGTGCAGTGGCATGAACACAGCTCACTGCAGCCTTAACCTCCTGGGCTCAAGCCGTCTTCCTGCTTCAGCCTCCTAAAGAGCTGGGACCATAGGCATGCGCCACCACACTCAGCTAATTTTTAAATATTTTGTAGACACTGGGTCTTGTCATGTTGCCCAGGCTGGACTCAAACTCTTGGGCTCAAGTGATCCTCCTGCCTCGGCCTCCCAAAGGGCTAGGATTACAGGTATGAGCCACCACACCCGGCCCAGTGGGTGATGTTTAAACCATAATAGGTGTAACACTCCCTGTTTTGTTAATATTTCTGAAGTAGGATTTTGTTGAAAAAATTATGGCATTTTGTGTTAGTCAAAATAATACGATCATCATACTTTTTGTTTATACACAATACAAATATATAATCACATTACAATTTTTGTTGTTAAACACATTAACTAATTAAACCTAGCTACGTAATTGTATGTTGCAACGTTTTGTAAACTTGTTTTGTAATTTCTTTCCTTCCTTCCTTTTTCTTTCTTTCCTTCCTTTCTTCCTTCCTTCTTCCTCCCTCCCTTCCCCCCTCTTTTCTTTTTCCTTCCTTCCTTCCTTTCTTCCTTTCTATTTTTTTGAGACGGAGTCTTGCTCTGTTGCTCAGGCTGGAGTACAGTGGTTCAATCAACTCTTGTGCCTCAGCTTCCCAAGGGGCTGGGATTACAGGTGCTCACCACCACGCCTGGCTAATCTTTGTATTCTTAGTAGAAATGGGGTTTTGCCATGTTGGCCAGGTTGGTCTGGAACTCCTGACCTCAGGTGATCCACCCGCCTCAGCCTCTCAAAATGCTGGGATTACAGGCGTGAGCCACCGTGTCCAGCCTCTTATTATTTTTATATACAGGAGCTCTGACAAAACCAAAGGGCCTAGGGCCCCTCTCAACCTCTGAGTGGCCCGGGTGAAGCCACGGCCTCAATGAGTGCTCTGGCCATGGGCGAACTGGTCAGGGGCCTGCAGCACCCCTGAGGGGCGATGGCATCAAGGCCTAAGCCTGGCCAGATTCGAGGCCATTGGTCCCCTCATCTGCCTCCACACTAGCTGACTTTCACTCACCCCACTTTCAAGCTTTGCTTGGGGACCCCTGATACTCACTGGTAGCAGTTGTTGTTGAACTTGTTGTAGCTAGCAAAAGCCAGAAGGACCCCAAAGCCCGGACCAAGAGAGAAGAAGATCTGAGCGGCAGCATCTATCCACACCTGGAACACAGCGGGGGGAAGGGCAGGGGGTGGCGGGGACGCAGGCTGACCCTGGGCACCAGCAGGCTCGCCTCTCCTGCCTCCATGTGGCCAAGTGCAGAGGCAGAAAACCAACTTTTAAGGCTCATTCCAGGCATAGCCATAAATCAAGTGCAAACAAATGTCACTTCCCTTCCTATCATTTAGGCATAAACCCACCCAGTGGCCTCAACTGTACTTTAATGCTTGTATTTCTGAGTTAAAGTATCATTGCAGACTTGCACACTGAAACCAAATTTCAGTTGTCCCTTCTGTCCTATTTGGAGGAGGACCAGCTTCATTTAGTAAAATGACAGACAGGTGCACACATTTCCCTCAGTGTCTTACCCCGGTCTCCAGGAGTTTCTGCCAGTTAGGTTTCAAGTAGAAGAGAACACCCCTCCAGGCTCCAGGGAGGGTGGCACCCCTCACCAGCAGGACAGAAAGGATGATATAAGGGAAGGTGGCTGTCACCCATACCACCTGTAAGGAAGGAGGGCGAAAGCCTGCGTTATCACCTACTGTTCTAGGGAAGGGAGGGGAAGGGAGGGAGCTGGGTGGATGTCGGTGTCTTTTATTCTTGAAGACTTTGAGAAAGGAGGGTGAGAGGGTATGGCAGAAAGCTCACAGCCCTTGGAATCACACAGACAGGGATCGGATTCCGCTTGGCCAATAGAACCGCCTCTGAGCCCACTACTGATCTTTGAGGCTGGGGCAGTATCTCGAGCTGGCCAGCATATAAAAAGCACTGAACGTAGTCCATGATGGGTTTCCAGTAAATTATCGCCACAATTATTAATTGTGATACTACCAGTGGGTTAAAGGAATTTTGGGAAAAAAAATCATGTAATGATTCTTGGCATTGGCCCATTTATAGAAAATTTTCTTT